AGGATGCCAGCTCCTGGGACTTGCAAATTTCGTGCTTTCTTTGGTTTCGGGCTGCAGCTTCCTCCCGCAATGACAGAAACCGACGTGGGTGACCAGTAGGCTGGCCCATACTTTCATCTGATGAGGTTGAATACGTTCTTCTGCAGAGAGAACTACCAGCCAGGGTCTAGCCCACCCACCTAGAGCCCTTTCAGTTCCTTGGGTTCCACCATGAAAGAGTGACCTGGCTACTCCCTGCTTGGCAGCCTCTATGGAATCGCTGCCACCCGCCATGATCAAGTACCAAGGGCACATAGGAAATTCTGCAAACCCTCCCCAGAACAACGCTTCCTCGACGTGCCTGTCACATTCCTCTCCCCGTGGGTCTTGGTGTCCATCAGTTTGCTTGGGCTGCCATAACTGCAAACCACAGATTGGGTGGTTGAACAACAGAAATGCATGTTCTCACAGTGTTGGGGCTGGGGTAGTTTCTCTGGGGCCTCTCTCCTTGGCTTGCTGACAGCTGCCTTCTCCCCACATCCTCAAGTGGTCTTCCACTGGTGCATCTCCTAATCCATGCTAACCTCCTCTTATAGGGACACTAGTCACAGGACTAGCCCTCTCCCCATAGGGCCACATTGCATTTTATTTTATTAAGAGATTCATTTTATTTAGTAGAAAGGTAGAGTTAGAACTAGAGCGAGAGAGCTTCAGTCTCCTGGTTTACTCCTCAAAGGGCCACAATGGCTGGGGCTGAGCCAGGCCAAAGCCAGGATCCTGGAACTCCATCCTGGTCTCCCATGTGGGTGGTGCACATCTTCTGCACGTAATCAGGGACTGGATGAGAACTGGAGTAGCCAGGACTCCAACTGGCGCCCATACGGGATGCTGGCATTGCAGGTGGCGGCTTAGCCCTCCATGCCACAACATCAGCCCATGTGACTACATTCTCACTAGATCAGAGGACCTGGGACAAACATACAAGTTGGGGGAGGGCCGGACGGCACAGTTGTGCCCGAGCAGGTGGGCCACTGTGCTTCCTCCCTCTGTCTCTCCAGGGGAGAAGATGACCTTGAGCATCTCTGTCCTCCTGTCCTTGACTGTGTTCCTTCTGGTCATCGTGGAGCTCATCCCTTCCACCTCCAGCGCCGTGCCCTTGATCGGGAAGTACATGTTGTTCACCATGGTCTTCGTGATCGCGTCCATCATCATCACCGTCATCGTCATCAACACGCACCACCGCTCACCCAGCACCCACGTCATGCCCGAGTGGGTGCGGAAGGTGAGTGGCCAAGACCCCCGCAGACCTCACGGGCCAGGCTCCCCCGGCCGACACTGCGCGGTTAGGCCCGGGAAGTCCTTTCTGCGCTGCAGGGGAGTTTTGGAAGGCGCTCTCTTTGACCTCTTTCTAGGGATAAATAACTCACGTAGCTTTCCCAGAGGGAGATGAAAAACAGAAGAGCCCACTCCAAATTCAGGCTCCAAGAATCTCTTTCAGGGAGATGAATAGCTCACTGTCTTCTCATCCAAATGCTGCGAAGTTCTTGAGATTTCTGTCTGTGTGTCTTCCAGTGTTTGAACAGACTGCCTTATTTTTGTTGGGCGGGGGTGGGTCTTGATGAGACAGGGCCAAAAATCAAATTTTCATGAGGAACTTGGTCTCTGGTACAGAATGCAGAAGAGGCCGGAGCTGTGGCTCAATAGGCTAATCCTCTGCCTGCGGCGCCAGCACTCTGGGTTCTAGTCCCAGTCAGGGAACCGGATTCTGTCCGGGTTGCCCCTCTTCCAGGCCAGCTCTCTGCTGTGGCCCGGGAGTGCAGTGGAGGATGGCCCAGGTCCTTGTGCCCTGCACCCCATGGGAGACCAGGA